TGAACTCCTGATCACAGGCAATCCACCCATCTCAGCCTCCCAAAGTGCTAGGATTACAGGTGTAAGCCACTGTGCGCAGCCCCCTTTCCCATCATTTCTTAATCTTAACATTTACACCTAAATCACTCCATTCATACACTTAATGACATGAACTACTCTTTCATTAATGAATATTTCACTTTTTATTGCTTTAGCAACTACTTTATGACCAACTGGAAATATCTGGTAGTTCCCAAAAATAATGCTACACTATGTAAATCCAACAACTAGAATAATTCCATCTTAAAAAAATTATATTATATTTAAAATATATCGACTAAATGTGTATCAATTTGAAAAAGTCCTTATTTTAGTTATAATCTCAAAATCAACACAGCTCACATTTATTGGGCAACCACTATGTGTTACATATTGTTCTAAGCACGTACCTAGCAAACTTAAAAAAAAGCAAAAAAAACAAACAAAAAAAGCAGCCCTTTCCCTGCTGTAGTCTGATGAAGATAACAACTATAAACAGGTACTATGTGCTATAACCATGGTACACTAAAGTACCCTGGAAACTTGTTAACTCTCTCTGTGAACTCAGAGATGTGGCTTTGAGTAGGGACTTGAAGCTTCTTACTTCTAATTGCATAGTGTGACAGGGTCTGATTCTGCAGATCTAAGCTTCTAACTGAGTCTAAATCTCAATTTTGGGGGGCAATTTTAAAAAGGTGAGTGATATATAGTTAAGCCTGTAGGATTAGTACTATGAGAAACTGGAGGGATGACATTAATATTAACATAAGCTAATATTATTCATGTCTCAGGATCTTCACACAGGATTTCCTCTTTTACTTTTTTCAAGCTCGCATCAAGATTTCATCACCACATTCTTCATTCTCATGTCTCAGACATTATTCTTTCTGATATATATCACGCAATCCTCCTCCTTCTACTCTGAGTTCTCCTAGATGAGGTTGTTTCCATATATGCTAACATTCTCATTATGAGAGTGATCTAGCCCTCCCCGTTCTGGCTACCTCTGCCATTAGATCACTATCTCCTTTTTAAATACCCACTGCTATTTGTATTTGTTTATTTCCCACACACAATGCATGATATGGTCATTCTGGTAATACTTTATTTCTATTGTCTGGTTATATGGGATTTCTTTTTTATATTCACTCACATTTTTTTCTATAATTCATAAATATCTACATGTTTTATCCCTAACTTTTCCAGGTGATTATTAATTAACTGGACATGTAGCAGTCTTTAGTTATTTCTTACAAATTCTCAATTTTCTGGCCCTAAATTTCCCATTGGCTAAATATTTATTTCTTCAAGAAGACTGCAGAACTATATACAAATCTTTCTTCTACGTTCAACATACTTTTGTATTTAGTAAGAGGCATTAAAGGTGAAATAAAAAAGCGAGGAACAGGACTTGTTCCCACTGTCTTTGTTTAAAATGTCTTCTAACTAGGATTAGGATGGTGTGTGGCCAACTTGGCTACATCTAAAGCAGCGGCTCACCTGACTGGCGCCCTCTGGTGGTAAGAAAATACCCTCACGGGATGGTTATGGGAGAGCCTCAACACCCACCACACCTAGAGGCTTGAGTACCTCCTGGCTTCTGTCTTGTTTATTTTATACAGGCTTGAGTCTTCCTTGTCCCTCTCTTCCTTTATTTTCCTTTTCTTTTCCTTTTCCTGTCTTCTTTTTAAATATCTGGACTCAATGCTGATTTAGGTCTTTACAAATGAAGCTAGAGGATAAACTCAAGGAGGACAACAGTGTTGGCATTACGGTGTAAGCTTTGACTTAATCACAAGAGAATATCAGTGTTTCTTGCAAGTGGATTGTGACCACCCATGTGCCATTTGTCATAATAATAAAACAAACCATGAGTAGGAAGGCATGCTGAGAGATTTTCCTCCACTAGCATAAAATATTCATTCAATATTATATTTGATAAATGTTATCTAAGGGTAATTGTCAAATATTCTGTATAAGTTGTTAACATTAGTCAAATAATACCTTTTAAGGATAATGTAAACTTCATTCTGCCTAAGGTTAGAAATGGATAAAGATGAGCATTCAAATTCCTCTTTACTCAACAAATTCTGTGTCTTGTGTGTGAACACAAGTGTCTATAAAAAGAAATCAGTATAGTATTTATCTGCCATGAAGGCATCAGTAGCTGAAACACTATTTCACTTAATGTTGATCTGTGGTCTGAAAAAGTTTACTAATTCTCTAAACATGCCTGACTTCTGTCAATGCAGTTCAAAAATTTGCATTTGATATCACCCAAATATAATTTCTCAGAAAAAGAGGAAATGTGGTATGGTTATCTGTACCAGCTTACTGATTTTTTTTTTTTCTGGGAAAAAGAACGTTTCTATTTTTACTCTATTAGGAGCCAATTATTGTTCCTGCAGTCATGTACACATTCTAGGTTCCAGAAAAGGGCCTACAGAAGAATCAGATATTTTATTAAATTTGATTGAAACTATGTGTTCAAATGCAAAACAAATTACAGCAAAATCTAGATCCGTTAAATGAAATTGCAATACCTTTCCTCTCTGTTTCTACTTTCACCCCCTAGAGTCAGTTCTTGACGCAACTGCAGACATAAGGTCTGACACGTTTCTAAAGGTGTGATCACTCCTTTAAAACCTAAGTCAGACCATGTTGATCTGCTGTCAGTCGTTCTTGGCTTATATCAAAATCCTAACCATGCCAACAACGTCCTACATGAGCTAACCCTGGCTACCTTCCCAACAACATTTCCTGCTAGTATCCTCATAATTTATTAATATTTAAGTAAAATCAGAGTAATATAATAAATCCTCAAAGACCTGTGTTCTGGAACACATCAAGCACACTCCTGCTTAAGGACTTTGGTATGTGCTGTTCCCTCTGCTCGGAATGCTCTTCCCCAGGAATGGTTCTTGATTTGTGCCTTTACTTCATACAGATCTGCTTCTGTCAGTATCTCCATGGCAAGCAGAATCTACCACATACAGTAATGAAATAATTTTTACAGAGATATATTCAGGGTAAGAGAAAAATAAAAGCTGTTGCCACTCTTAGAGATTAGAAACTGGAGGAAGCTTGTACCATTCCTAGATCTGTAGGGGTAAGGGAGGAAACAGTGTTACTGCAGCCCGGTGAGAGCCTTAGCTGTTGGGGAAAGGATGCTGAGCAAAAGCTATCGATGCAGGAGAAAGGAGAAAGAGAGTAGAAGAAGAAGAGAGTAGAGAAGAAACACCATGACTTGACGTTTCTCTTATTCTCCTTCAGATATCCTACTAGTGCCAAACCTTGTTGGGAGCCAGTGTCAAAGGAACACAGGTGAGTCCATCTTCATTAGTCAGCCTCTCAGGGCCAGACCAGGACAGGGAAAGGCAAACACTGGGGTTGGTGGACAAATGGAGAATGGCCAGGACAAGAACTCTACTCAAAAGGTCACCTCCCAAAAAAGATCTTCACCAATCAATCAATCTAAAACAGTATCCCCAAAACACTATTTCTTCAGCCAATTTCATTATAGCACTTATCATTATCTGATATTATATTTTACTGTTTATTTGCTCTCTCTCCCACTAAGATGTAAGTTCTACGAGGGCTAGCACTTCATCATTTGTATTCATTGCTATATTCCTAAAATTTAAAACAGACACTGCTGCATAGGAAGGGTCCAATATTTATTGAATGAATGAATGAATTTAGTACTATCTTTGCTATTCAACAGTACACGTTTAATTAAAATCAGAGCACATGATAAACTCTCAAATATCTGTAAGTGAATTATCCATACACAAGCCCCATATTCCAGCCTTTTCTGTGTTCTAAAATATCTTTCTTGTTAACTTACCCTGTATGAAAACACAAATAAATTTAAATAAATTTAATCTTATGAAATATAAGTATACATATACATATATTTCATAAAGCTTTCTTTTACATATTAAAATGGAGAAAGAGTTTCATCATTGAAGGAAGCATTAAAATGCAATGAACCCGACCTAGTACTCAGTACATAGACATTATCTACAATAGTCTTTTAAATGGTAGGGAGTAAAGAAAGAAGTAATTTCTTCTCCAAAGAACATATGTTCAAAATAATTACAACTGTTTACATGAATTTTTAGCTATATTGTTGAATTTATTGAAATATTTTGATAATGTTGAAAGAGGATGATTTTTTTGTCAACCAAAATGGGGCAAAATCCAATAAACGTTGGCAAATAATGCTCTATGAAATCCCACTTGTTTTTATCTATTTTGTTAATCACTGTAGAGATAAGGAACTTACTATCTCAAGAACTGGTGACTTTGAGGCAGCTTTTATTATTATAAAAGTTTGGGCTTGAGTTTTTTTCTTTATGTTAAAAAAAAAAAAAGTTGTTGTATCTCTTTAGGTAATACTTTCTTTCTTCCAGACCAAACATCCTCAGCTCATCAGACCAAATTTCATGTCATCTTTTTTGGAAAGATTCTTATCCCAGATACTCTCCTTTGGACATGGTCTCATCCATCAACTTTTCCCCTGAAGTCTAGACTTCAGAACATAATTCTTCAGCCTGACTGTGTTTAGGGCAGCATAGTGACTATCTGTTCCCCTCACCTGAACATTCTATGTTCCTTGATACAACTTGAAAGTACCAGTTTTATTGTTCTCCATAGCTATAATGTATTATTTACCTGCACCAACCTTTTTCTGTAAATGCTGTTAAACCATGTTTGTCAAAGCAATTAGCAAAGTGCACATTGTTCTTGTGCTTAATCTGTCATCCCAAAAGCTGTTTGGGTTTTCCATAATGAAGTAACAAATGCTAACATAGGCACAATGGACTGATACAATGATTGCCAAGAGACACAATCCAATCAACAGAAGTTAGTCATACATACACCTAACTCTCTCAAAAAGCTTTCAAACATGTCAGCATTTAGGACAGGAATTATTCTGCTGATGACATTCCAAAAAATAACAGTCACTAAGGACTTACCTGCAGCAACTATGATAATATCTGCCAGCTGCGTATGAATCTTCAGTTGTTCTTTGGGGGTGTATCTGTGAGCTATTGTCACAGTTGCATCACCTGGAATACAGAAAAATTTCTATCAATGATTACTGAACTTTTAAAAATTTTACAAATGCTCTAAACCTATAAGAGTTTCCCTTATTTCCTAAGAGTAGAAAAGCTACTTTGACATGACTAAATCACATTGAGCACAAAAGCTAGACCAGAAAACCAAGAGGAACCAAAATATTGTACCCTTCAATTAAATGAAAGGAAAATCAAATGAGACCAAATCAGGGTAAGTGCCGATCATCATCGGAGAGCTATGAGTAGAGTCCCTGAAACAAAGAGTTTGAAAATTCTGTGTTGACTGGTTAATACATTAGGATACGGGATACTCACTGTCTTCATAATGACAGGCAAACAAATACTAAAAGCAACAAGATAAGTGAACAAAAAAATGGGACAATATATTATAGGAGCATAACTGAGAGATTAATTCTGTCTTGAGAAGGTGTCTAGGAAGGATTCCTAAAGGAGGAAATACATTTTTTAGGTCTTAATGAATGAGCAGAAGTATTCCAATCAGGTAAGGAAGAAAAAGGCATTCCAAGCTAAAGAATAGTAGGAAAAAACTAACCAACTTTGAAAGTGGGTATTTAGAATATAGTGAAATTTTTTGTCATAGGTTAAGGTACATCACAGGAAGTTTTTATATGAAAACCATAAGGAAGTGATGAACGAACAAGAGAGGCAAGAGACTCCAATATTTAAAGTGTGAGCCATGAAAGGGGAGTGAGGGAAAGTTGGTGGTAAAGAGCAGTCAAGAGGACTTCTGGTAAGAACATGGCTAAGACTGCATCTTGTCTTCTGGAAGATATGTAAATGCTACACAGTTAACCAAAACAACAAAAGTTACATGATCACCATTTTTAGAAAAACTGGAAGACCTAATTTCTACAGACTCCAAAAACATGTTAAGAGTTACCAAAAGCAGCAATTAGTAGATACCATACAGGGAGAAAGGCATCTAAGAAATGAGGAGAATGACAACAAGGCCAGCAGTGGCATATCTCTGAAATTGACTGCAAAAATACACTTTTTTATCCCAAAGTGCAAAAAAATATAGCTTTCCTAATTGGGGCAGTGAGAAAAGAAATAAAGACAGAAGAGACTTCCGGGACCCAGTATAGTTTAGAGTGGGTGGGAATACATTTACATAGAGGGGCTATTTTAGAAGAAAGCAATCTGACTCTGTGAAAGTAATAAAGGAGTCAGAAGGCTACACAGGACCTCCTCTAACCCCCAGCAGAAGTGTCCTGTAAATAGTAGATCTAAAAACATCCAACTCATTCAATGATGAGTAATAAAAATGGATGTGACACAGCATCAACAAAAGGATAGTATATAAGGGCAAACCCAGGGGAATTTGGGGAGTGATGAAGCTGTTCTGATTCTAGTGGTGTTAGACTAATTAATTTAATAGATGACTATATGCATTTGTCTAAATTAATGAACCTGCACACCAAAAAGAGTAAATTTTACCATATGCAAATTTTTAAAAATTCAATAAAAAGATACGTTTAAAAAGTGTCAGAACCAAGACAAAAGGCAAAATAAAGATAAAAAAATTTAAGAACTTAGCAATGTACCAATAAACTCAAAAAAATGGCATGGAAAAGTTGAACATTATGACCAAATATTATACAAAAATACTTATTTATTTATTTTTATGTGTTTTTAACTTTTATTTTAAGTTCAAGGGTACATGTGCAGGTTGGCTATATAGGTAAGCTCATGTCACGAGGGTTTATTGTACAGATTATTTCATCACTAAAGTATGAAGCCTAGTACCCATTAATTAGTTTTCCTAATTCCCTCCCTCCTCCCAACCTCCACCCACCAGTAAGCCTCAGTGTCTGTTGTTCCCCTCTCTGGGTCCATCTGCCCTCATCATTTAGCTCCTACTTATAAGTGACAGCATGCAGTATTTGGATTTCTGTTCCTGCATTAATTTGCTAAAGATAATGGCCATCCACGTTCCTGTAAAGGATGTGATCTCATTCTTTTTTTATGGCTGCATAGTATTCCATGGTGTGTGTGTGTGTGTGTGTGTGTGTGTGTGTGTAGTGTGTGTGTATATATACACAAACACACCACATTTTCTTTATCTAGTCTACCATTAATGGGCATTTAGGTTGATTTCATGTCTTTGTGACTGTGAATAGTGCTGCAATGAATGTGTGCATGTGTCTATGATAGAACAATTTATATTCCTTTGGTTGTATGCCCAGGAATGGGATTGCTGGGTCCAACGGTAGTTCTGTTTTTAGGTCTCTGAAGAATTACCCTGCTGTTTTCCACAAGGGTTGAACTAATTTACACTCCCACCAATGGTGTATAAACATTCTTTTTCTTCCACGACCTCGCCAGAATCTGTTATTTTTTAACTTTTTAAATAATAGTCATTCTGATTGGTGTGAGATGATGGCATCTCATTGTGTATCTACAAGTGATTCATGTAAAAAAATGATAGTAAAGGATTTTATAGCCAGTCAAATCTGCCTCCAAGATTAAAAGTTGCAAACCATTTTGAAAATGCAAGAACTCAGGAAATATTGTTCCCATAAGTATTTCCTAAGGAACATGCTAAAAGACACAGTTTACTTAATCAAAATCTGTCTGAGGAAACTAGCAAAAGGACTGCTGAACATTTTGATTATAATTATAGGACCAAGACTTTAAAAAAGTGTGAGGATTGGGGTGACAAACTGCTATGGTTTGAATGTTTGTCCTCTCCCAAACTCATGTTGAAATGGAATTGCAATCTAACAATATTAAGAGGTGAAACCTTTAAGAGGTGATTAGGACACCAGTCCTCTGCCCTCATGAATGGATTCATGCTGTTATTGCAGGAGTGAGTTCCTTCTAAATGAACAAGTTCAGCCCACTTCTGTCTTGCTCTTGCCCTCTCTTTCCATTCTGCCTTCTATCATGAGGTGATGCAGTAAGAAGGCCCTCACCAGGTGCTGGCATCTTGATCTTGGACTTTCAACCTCTGTAACTGTTCAGAAATAAATTTCTATTCTTCATAAATTACCCAGTCTGTGATAATCTGCTATGGCAGAACAAAACAGACTAAAATGCAGACAAATGTAAATGGTCTTTGCTTTCACTATGCAGAAATAATGCAACTAACAAAATTAGAATGAGAAAGGGCAAAGATGAGAAAGTTTGTTGATTCCCTAAAATATAATAATAGGAATCAACAAATGTTTAAAAGCTGACCAACCAGATAATAAAAGTATAAGAATATTTAAAAGTATAAAGTAAAAAATTAAAAAAATATATTTTCAAATAATTTTTACTGCCAAATAGCAGGTCGGAGACAAAAGAAATGGAATGAGTGGAGAAAATAAAAAATTTTATCATTTATTTATTTTACTAGAGTATCAGTAGCCACCCTATAAATAAATAGAGAATTAAGAGTACTATATAATGTTGTAATTATTAAGGTAAGGAAAACCTTCTTAAATATTTTTTAAATGCACAAAGAAAAAAATTGTAAAAAAAAAAAAAACAATAAACAGAACAGAAAATAATAATAGTTGTACCATATATACTTATCTTAAAAACAAATATAAATTTCCCTAAGTCATTTATGTAAAAGAACGATATTTTCAAATTGACTTACAAAGCCAAATCTAATTATGTTTTGCTAATTCTATACAATATATATTATACACATAAAACAAAGTTATTCAGAATTCAGAAATGTTGAAAGCAAACATGTAGCAGGAAAATGCCAAAAAATAATGCTTTTTGTCAAACAAAAAGTCAGCACTAAATAAAACAAAGAAGCACATATTATAAAGTAAAAGAGTGATTCAAATAAAGATAGAAAAATAATAAATACATAAGAAAAAGAAATAGAATTCTTATAAGCAGAAATTACAGGAGATACATATAGAAACAAAATATATTGTATTTGTTTAATTTATTTTTGAATAACTTTCTCAGTTCATGACAGATCAAGGATACAGAAAATGTCAACAGCTTAACAAATGATAGATATATGACTATATCAAACGCAGAAAATAATACATTTTCTTCTCATGCAAATGGTATAAACTTGGTTACAAAGAAAATTTAATACCAAAAAGTAATAATTAGATAGACTATAATTTTATTTGATTACAACTCAACAAAATTATAATTATTGACAAAATCGGAAAAAATGTCCTTCATAAAGAGACCCTTCTATTGGAAGATTTTAAAAATTCTATTTTAAATAATTATTGGGTCAAAATAAAAAAAAATTGCAAAAGTTTTAGAAAGATTTATAATGAAGACATTTCATATTAGATCCTATAAAATAAATATAGAAATAAATATGTTAAAAAAATTGTGGACAAATTATTATATCAATAAAACAAAATAATAAAATGAATCACTTAACTTCAGAAATTAAAGAACAATAAACAAATGAAACTAGAAAAAACTATAAAAGTTAAAATGTATTTGATAAATCTAAAAAACTAGACTACTATAAGAAACATTGCGATAATTCCATAAATTAATCAAGTAAAAATCAAATATACAGAAGTAAATTGCTTTCATATATAACATCTTAGAAAATACATTGTAAGAAAAGGCCCCATTATAACAGCAGTACAAAAGGTAAAATACTTAAAATAAGCTTAACAAAAAATGTGCAAAAAGAAAATCTCCAGAATAATACCAAAATAAGACCAAGAAACTAGAAAGATAAACCATGTCCTTGGATAGGAATGTTTAATATCATAAAGATTAGAATTCTACCTATATTCATTACAAATATAATTAAAGTCCAATAAAAGTGGACTTTTGGAAGTATGTAATTTGATACTAAGTTTAATATGGAAAAATAAAAGATAATCAGGAAAACTTTGAAAAGGAAGAACAATGAGAGGCAACTAGCAGCCTTTTTTATTTTAGTTGGTACCACCTTCTGCCCAGCTATTTACAGTAAAAGTCTAAAAGTCTCCTTGGTTATTCTCTTTCTTTCACTCACTATAAACCATCAAGAATGTCGAGTA